TCGGGAGTCCTCTGTCCACCCACTTGATGTCTCAGCAGTGCCCCCAAACCGTGCTCTCCTGTCACATTTATAGAGTAGGACAAAGTTATCTGTGTCTTCCAGTCACTGGAGAGGACCCACTTAGGGGTGAGTGAGTCAGATTCTGTAGCACGCACTGCTCTACAGTCCCAATCCATGCGAGCTGTCCCCCAAGTACCATCAGAAGGGCTTTCTGCCAGCCTATGCTAAGTATGCTGCAGCTGCCCTGTCTCCTGTATGCACCCCAACACCATAACCCTGGAAAGAGAGAAAGGAGGGAAGAGTAAGTCTCAGAGAGGGGACTCCAAGGACATCCTTGCACTAGCCCCAGACCCAGACAGATGCCTCCAGGGGCTACATGCTGACCTTCTCAGGCTCCTCTGTGATCATGGAACAGCTCCCAAAGCTTTGCAGAATGGCTCAGGATGGGTTCTAGGTGCACAAGAAGGTGGCCAAGTGAGATGGGCACCTAAAAATGTTTTGGTGCAGAAGCTTTGGGGGCAACTGTGAGGACACCGGAAGCAGGGAGGGACCCCTGCAGCATGGAACACATTGCTCGATCTGTTTCTTTGTTCCAAGTGGGGCATACATCTGCAGCCAGTCTCTTGGCCAAAAAGCTGGGGCTGGGAGGCCTGGGGCCAAAGGGCCATGTCTAAGGCTGGCTGCAGGATAAGAGCTCTAGCCTGGCCTAGCAGTCTCAACGGAACAGCCTGCAAAGCATCTTTCCCACCCTGCAGAGGACCGAGGTGGCAAGTGAACATTTAGGCAAGTGCCTAAAGGCCAGGCCTCCCTCAGGGACTGCCATCACCAGCAGGGAAACAGAAGACAGGAGGGCGAGGTTCCTGGGTCTTCTTGGTGGTTGCTGGTGCCTGGAAGATCTGAGTCACAATCTTCTTTTAAAGACATCTTAAACCTGTCTGCCCTGGGTGGCTGCAGGCCTCCGGGGATGGAGGCTGAGCTGTGGCCGGGAATGAGATGCACAAGGGATGGGATGGGGTTCACTGCTGCTGGGGTTGCTGGGAAGATCGGGCAGGCTGGGAATTGTGGGCAGAGGTGTGTCACTTGGTGGTACCTGATGGCTGCAGACCTCTGGGAATGCAGCTAGGGCTGTGTGTGATCCAAGAGATGGAGTGTGCAGGGGACAGGGCATAGGTCACCGCCGCTGGGCTTGCCCAGAGGCACTCAGTAGGCAGGGGCCTGTCCAGGGAGTACTGGGTGCTGCTGACCTGACCCATGTACCAAGCGGAGAGACCCCACGGTAGCACAGAGCCCCTGGACAGAGCTGATCCCAAGGAGGGCTGCAGTTCTCTGGGCTGCAGGGCGGTGTCACTAAGGACCACTGCTTAGCAGCACCCGTGGCAGCTAGTCATGTGGTCTAACCAAGAGCTACTGGCATCACAAAACTATTGACCTTTGAAGAAGCAACCAGATCATGAAGGAGGATTAAAAAAGGAAAAGCTACAGGTTCGCTCTAGACAGTTCTTTCATTCTGGCCTCGGGCTCTAAGCAAGGATGTTTGCCTCCCTTCCAGTTTAGGGAAGGAATTTCAGCTCTTGCTCTTAGGAGACAGGATGTTCAGCTATTGGCTTCTGCCTGCACTTTTTAAAAGTTCCTTTAATTCAGAATAATCAATGTGCCAGTACGGCATAGTTTTAACTCCCTCACTGACCTGGCTGTCATTTTGCTCAGTCACAACTCCATGCTTGGCTTGAGGGAGACCTTGTAGGCAGGACTGTTGAATGGACAGATGCAGCACAGAAGCCAACAGTGGCTGACTTGGCCTGACCCCCAGTCCTAGATTGAGCTGAGGTGCCTGGAGACTACCCTATTCCAGCCCATGGACTCATTCTGGGCACAGCTTGTGGGCCTTTCTCTGCAACTGGACAGTTAGCATCACAGAGCGGATTTGGTATCAAGGTCCATCCAGGTTCAGAATGCTCAGGAGAACTAACTACTCTGAGAGCCAGGCAGTTTTTCAGCAATCTTGGTGGCCTATACACAGACCTGGCTGGGCTAGTGCCAGGGGTGGGCAGACTCTGAGGGGTGGCCTTATGCTACTGTAGGGTTGTTGAGGCATTCTGAGGTTTTCCTTCTTTCTGAGCCCTACCCAGGAGCCTTTGAGTCAGCTCTACCTGTTGCCCAGCGCCCCGCCTGCAGCTTCCCTCCAGGACATTTGTACCTTCTATCGAGAGGGCAGCTGAACCCTTCTCTGCAGAAGTCCTGAGAGCACTTTCAAAGCCGAGTGTGGGGAAGCAGAGGACTTGGCTTTGAGTGCAGCTGTGCTTATTCACACACATTTGCATAACTGCCCAGTAGCCCGGACTTTCACTTTCTTTTTGTCAGCTTGATTTCTAGATGACTGACTTAGTTTGACAGCTCATGGAACACCTACAGGGACACAGAAAGGCAAGTTATACTTGGCTGTCTGAGGCCCTCCTGGGAGATTCTGGGTTTGTATTCTATATCCTGGGCAGCCAGCTAGAAAGTCCTATGGCTTCTTGGAAACAACCTTTGAGCTTGCTCATTTTTTTTTCTTCCTTCATTTCCTCCTTCCATTCTTCCCTCCTTTTCTCCTTCCCTCCTTCCCTTCCCCCCTCTCATCTCCCCCCTTCCTTCCTTCCTTCCTTCCTTCCTTCCTTCCTTCCTTCCTTCCTTCCTTCCTTCCTTCCTTCCTTCCTTTTTTCTTTCTTACTTGTATTTTAGTCTTGTGTGACCTAGGCTAGCCTTGAATTTACAGTGTAGCCAAGGATGCCTTTGAACTTCAGCCTTCATCTTCTCAGTGCTGAGATTGCAGGAATACACTACCACATCCAGTGTTATGAAATGCTAGAGACTGGACCAGAGCTTTGTGCATGTTAGACAATTGCTTTATTGACTGAGCAATAGCCCCACTTAGCTTTTTTTTTTTTTTTTTTTTTTTTAAGGAAAAGAAAGATTTGAGAAGGATCATTGCCTCAACTCTCAGACACAGGATCCCCCCTTCTCTGAATGTTCCCTATGGGCCCTGTACCCCACACCTGCTCCCATGGGTCTGTTCCTCAAAGGGCAGTGCAGTGCTGAGATTGGGCCCCTGGGATGGTCCAGGCAGGAGCTGGTTCATGTTCAGGGTGACTCCCTGGGCCAGAGTCTTCCTGGGGCATCACCCCCAGAAGAGGAAGTTTCCAGAAGAGTTCTGCAAGGGTCTTTGTGGCCTGCACGGAGACCTGGCTGTATCTGTGCCACTGGTAGTTTATCCTGAGGCGGGTGGGCTCCTAGAGGCAGTCACATGTCCCCTTCATAGCCTGTTGGCATCGTGTCTCAGGCTCAGTTCCTTTGGGCTGACAAACGCCTGTGGTCAAGGCGCTATGTGTGCAGTGTTGCCTTGGAAGTTTCAGCTGCAGATACAGAAGTTGTGTCTCTGGGTGATGGGAGGAGATGTAAGGCTCAGGACTGAGAGAAGCTGCTCAGCCACTTCATCTACCGACACCTCATCCAAGACCGGAGCACCAGACAGCCCTAATGCCACTGCTGTGGAGCAGGTTCCACAGAAGCACCACCAGCTGTCACCAGAGCCGCACAGTAGAGGGACAGAAACCATAGCCAAGTAGCATCTGTGAAGCTGCCTTCGTCTCTAGCGTCTATGCAGATTGAGTGCATAGCCCTACTGTTTTTATTGCATAGCTTAGCATTCTTTTTGGTGTTCCAAAGTGGTTGCATGTCATTAAAAGTCCTTTCAGTGACTCTTGAATGGCTGTGTGGCAGTCATTAAGCTTACCGAACTGTGCCAGGAGGCTGCTGGGCACAGGGTTAGAGGTCAGCTTGGTTTAAGAAGTCCTAGAGACCTTTTACCTTGTGCATATTCCCAGGAAGAGGGATGTGGGTTCTCTTAGGGTGTATCCAGAGATTTGGTCTGAGGCCAGTGCTGCTCCAGGCTTAGTCTCACCCACCTCAAGGTTCAAAATCATTCAGACCCATGACCAGTGTTTCACAAAGACCTGGAGACCATAGTCTGCATAACCCCCAGCAAATGGCTCTGGTTATGCGAATCACCTGTCCTTAAGAGAGCCACTGCGGCTTGCAGTGGGCGTGGGTGCTGGCTCCGCACCAGCTTTTTATGTCTTAACTTTGTTTCCTTTTGGGAACCTCTGTCCTTGGTTCTGTTGACACTTCTTGGCCACAAGGGATATCAGCTGCTTTTCCCCTCGCCTCGTCCTTCTCATCACATGTTCCTCTTTGCTAAGTAGTACCAGCGCTGGTGGTTGACCACGACAGTACAGCACTGTACTGTCATGTGCCTTCAGGACTCTAAGGGGCCTGCCATCAAGGACAGTCCCCGCTTGTTGGAAACGATGATCCTGTGGTAGATGGCAGCTTCCTGGATACACAGCTTTGTGATAAGTGGATATTCTCTCCTTCATTCCTGTGATGACTATCTTGAATGTCAACTTGATGGGATCTGAAGTCAGCTAAGAGATACGCCTCTGGATGGGTCTGTGAGGGCATTTCCAGGAAGCAGAGAACAGACAGGAAGTAAGGCCAAACCATACTCCCTCCCCTAAGCACAGGGACCTACTTCCTCTAGCAAGGTTCTACCTGCTAAAGCTTCTGAAAGCTTCCAAAAGCAGAGCCACCAACTGGAGGCTGAGTGTTTAAACACATGAGCCTGTGGAGGGAGCATTTCACACTCAAACCACACAACAGTCCCTAGTGTACTTCAAAGCCACATGCTGATCCAGGCCCTGAGAAGGGGATGCTGAAGCTTGGTAAGCTGAGACTACTTGCACAAGTCATGGCTGGCGAGGGGCTCAGTACCGGCACACAAGCCATCCCGCCTTTATGAAGCTAGGACTCTTGTCTGGGTGCAGTGTGACTGGGCCCTGCCAGTCTGTAGACTGTTCACCACCTGGTCCCACTGCCAGCTAGGGACCCTGGCTCTCCCAGGGTGGAGGGGGGCCGAAGGGTTCACTTTCTGGCATTCTGTTGAGTGGTCCTTGGCCCTTCAGGTGTGCATCGTGCAGAAGCGGGACACAGAGAAGATGTATGCCATGAAGTACATGAACAAGCAGCAATGCATCGAGCGTGATGAGGTCCGAAATGTCTTCCGGGAGCTGGAGATCCTGCAGGAGATTGAGCATGTCTTCCTGGTGAACCTCTGGTGAGCCTGCCTGAGGGCCTGCCAAGGATGCCCCTTGTAATGGGATTTACCCTCTGGAATGGGACAAGGGGCCTTGCTGTTCTTTGGCCCTAATACCTCTGGGATGTTCCCCATGCGCTAGACCTCCCTGCTCCCCAACCCACCAGTCTGTTCGGCTTCTGTGTTCAGGGTCTGCTGGGCTCAGGGGCCCATGGTATGCTGGGATTCATATAGAATCTCCCAGGGCCTGCGAGGAGCCCAGGGTTTAGCACTAAGCTGTACTACCAAGTGTAGGCGTGACCTTCAGATTCCTGCACAAAATGAGTGCCAGATGCATAAGAACCCTGTGGGCTGCTGGGAGGTTGAGTCTGTCCTTTTCGGGAGGGACCCAGGCTCCTCTCCATTGCAGAACTGCTGCCTCCCATAGGGGTCTTCCCAACCCTGTAGTCCTCTCCAATGCATGGATCTTCCCTGACCCAAGGAAGCAGTCTCCTTGACTGCTGATAGTGGGCTCTGTTCTCTGCTGCACTTACTGATGGGCATGACTGACAAAGGCTTTGTGGACCACGGGGTTTCCAACAGCAGGGACCTCTGGCAAGGTAGCCTCTAGAAAGCATAGGTACCCCTGTCCTTTAGATGACCCTGTGTCCATCAGAGCTTTAGGAAAAAGCAGCCAGCTGCTGTTTGGGGTACTGGAAAGCAAATGTGTTCTCTTTGACAATGAACCTGAGATTTGCTTGGAGCTCAGACTCCTCTCACCCCAAACTGCAACCTACTGGTGTTCCCCCACCACCACCACGATAAGTCAAGAAACTTCAAAGTGGACATTGGCCACTTCCCCGAGGCTACATAGCATGGCTCAGGAATGGCTTCCTTCCTACTCAGAAGCTCTAGTATGCTTGTGGCTGGCTATTTTCCAGGCAGGCTGAGGAGTGATAGAACCAGATACCATTTCTGTGGTATACATTCAGTCCTGTTTTCAGCATACTAGAGCAACATTCTAAAGTGGGGAGAATATCTAAGTGAGAAGCACCCCTCAAGCCTGCCCCTGCCATGCTGTAGCTCAGGAGTGGATCAGGGGAAAGGAAGGAGTTTACTGTGAGGTGGGAACACGATGCTGGCACTGAGGCATCTTGGGAAAAAGGAAGGCCAGTATTTTCATCTTTGGGGCCTCAGCAACCCAGCCTTCCAGGTTTCCTAAAAGACAGGATTGCCTAATGGTCAGGCGTGTTGAGTCCGTTGCCATGCTGAAGAGCACACACATGACCCCTTTGTCGTCAGTCTCCTCACTTGTGAACCGGAAACCCCCCACTGCTACCATTCATAACTGAGCAGGCGTTGCTGTGACTTGGGCCACAAGGCAGGAGTTCGGAGTCTATATCTTTCCTTCCCTCCACGCTCCAGGCCTCTAGACATCACCTGCCAACCAGGGCTGTGTGCACTGGGTCCACCATGACATCCCAAGTCCCCTCGACCCCTTCCTTAGAATCCTGCCTGTGCCACCTTCACCAGGCCACCTTCCGCTGAGGCGGAGAGAGGGTGGCTTCCGGAGGGCAGGGAGCAGGACGTCATACAAAAGTGAATGCTCTGTGACTTTTTTTTTTTTTCATGAAAGAGTCGCTTGTCTAAAATTAGAGTTACCTCTGAGAGCTCACGAAGGAAATCACAGAGTGGAAAGAAGCATTGTCCTGCTACCGTCACCGCCATTTTCATCATCATCAACGTCAGTGCCACCACCAGCAGCATCTTTATTGCTGTCATCCCTACCACCTTCACTGTCATTGCAACCACCATCACCATCATCACCAGCACTGTCACCAACACCATCACCATCATCACCAGCACCAGTATCCCCAGCACCACCATCACCATCATGACCATTGCTGTCAGCATCAGCACCAGCACCAGTATCCCCAGCACCACCATCACCATCATGACCATTGCTGTCAGCATCAGCACCAGCATCATTATAACCAGCGCCACCACCATCCCCGTGGCGTCTACTCGCTAAGCGCCAATTCCTTGCCTGATACGTAGTAAGCGTTTCACTGGCACTGTCTCCTGTTCTTCTTTTATAAGCCAAGGTTTTGTTCTGTTTTGTTTTTGTTTTTGTTTTTAATCCTCTTAGAAGAAACCAGGGAAGCCTGAAGCAGCTCTGGGATGTACACGGTTTCTGTTCTCCAGTCATCACGTATGGGCATCAGCCAAACCACCCTTATGGACATGGCTGTTTGTCTTCCTTAGGGTCTTGGTGCCACTCTGGGCAGGGTATAGTCAATGCCTCAGGCAGGATGGCGATCAGACTGGAAGGAGGAAGAGCCAGGTGTGACAGGAGCCATTGCTCTGGGTCCCTAGCCATTCACATGCCGAGTCTTCCCCTGGTGCCCACAGGTACTCATTCCAAGATGAGGAGGACATGTTCATGGTGGTGGATCTGCTTCTGGGTGGAGACCTGCGCTACCACCTACAGCAGAATGTCCAGTTCTCAGAGGACACAGTGAGGCTGTACATCTGTGAGATGGCCCTGGCCCTGGACTACCTGCGGAGCCAGCACATCATCCACAGGTGTGTGAACACCTGTGGGATGAGGTACCCACCTGGGTTGAATGGTTGGCAATAACCTTGGGGTATCCCCAGTGCAGCATAACCTGGTCTGGCTTCTAATCCCACCCTTCCATAAGGACCTGTTCCCAGGATTGGGCACTGTCCGAACAACCCAGTTTGAAGATGGACACAGAGGGCTTAGTCCTCATGGGTGTACACAGGGCTGGGCACACCTGTGCCTCTCCTTTGTCTATTGACAGCATCCTGGGACTTCACACTGATTGGGGTGTTTGTGAAAAGCACATGGAATTGGGAAATATCTAATTAGCAAGCAGGTAGAATTAAGAAGCAGAAACTACACTAAAATCCTGCAGCTTTGGTGCAAACTGAGTCAAACAAACCTCATTTCTGCCTCTCTGCCCTGGGATTCTGTTTCCTGGGCATGGTTCGGGTGTGTGATGGCTACTGAATGCTAGTTGTGTATCTGGAAGTCGAAGTTGAGAGGACTGAAGCTGAATTATGGGCAGAATGTGCATGAGTCCCCTTCCATGCAGTCCCATGATGCTCTGGTGAGGGCATCACGGGAACCTGGCCCCGAGGGCCTTCTGTAGTCCTCAGAGCCCTCTAGCTGTGGGGGTGCCTTCTGCACAGTCCTAGATAGTCTTTGGCCACCAAGACTCAGAAAACAGATTGCTGGTGGCTCTCCTGCAGCTGGCTTCTGGGCGGCCCTGGTGCTCTCTGACCAGTGCAGTGCGTCCTCCATGGCTCACACTAGGCCCTCTGCTAGGACCCATTCTACATACCAAGTCATGCTCTCCAGGCCTCTGCCTCTGGCATCTGGAGAACTCGTGGCTCCGTCAGGGATGTCAGGGCATAAATGACATGGGTTCAAGCTCATTTTCTTGTCACCTTCTGTTCTCTTAGAGATGTCAAGCCCGACAACATTCTCCTGGATGAACAAGGTGAGTCTCTGGAGCTCTGGGACATGGCAGAGGAGCATGGGTGCCCTGCCCAGGACCTGGAAAGCCATGTCTGACCTCTCCTCACAGGACATGCACACCTGACCGACTTCAACATTGCCACCATCATCAAGGATGGGGAGAGGGCGACAGCTTTGGCTGGGACCAAGCCATACATGGGTAAGCCTAAGGCCTCAGATGACACCTGGACATGCAGGGCCACAGACCTTTCTCCACAGTCAGATAAAGCCACAGCGGGATTGATAGGAAAGGCTTTTTTTAAAAAATATATATGATCAATCTGATATGTGCAGAAAAACATGAGGGTGTACATAAGAGTCCTGGGTGGAGACATAAGACAGCTCCCTCTATCCCTGCATACTCGCTAGAGCAGAGGACCTGGGGTGGACCAAATGGCCTAGCTATGCAGTGTTTTATCTGCTGTGGGCTAGTCCAGAAGGGGGCTGCTCCCTGCAGGATGAACAGTGCAGAACCATGGCGGGTGGGGTTCTCTTTGAGATCTGGTGCAGGCCTGGTTGTGGCTTACCCGGTTGTCAGGACCCTCTAGCCCCACAGCTCAGCTGTTCTTCTCTTTGTTGGACAGCTCCAGAGATCTTCCACTCTTTCGTCAATGGCGGCACTGGCTACTCCTTCGAGGTGGACTGGTGGTCAGTCGGGGTGATGGCTTACGAGCTGCTGCGAGGATGGGTACGGAGCCTCGTAACCCTGAGCTAGCCACTTCCTTGCCCCATACTGGCTGAGAGCCATGGAAGGAGGATGATACCCCCCCCCTCCAACCTCAGTGGACTCAGGCTTTTAGCAAAGTATGACAGATGCCTAAGCAAACAAGTCTTGAGTGGTTGGTGGTGGACAGGATGTGTGTTCAGCAGGTTCTTGGGGGGAGACTTGCTTCTTTTCTCTGGGGGCAGAGGCAGTAAACTGCTTAGGCCTCATACTGCCTTCTGTATCCTCTCTTGGGGGTACCCTCCACCATTCCATGGAACCCCAGTCCCGATGAAGACAGCAACTCCTGTCCTTTGCGACTGGCCCACCCAGGCCTCAGGTCTCGGTGAGGGTAGGGAGTGCATCTCCTTGACAGATGAGCTTCTGGGCTGTGGTACCCAGTTCAGTCCTGGTGCAAGCTCCTCCCCCCCCCCCCCCTGGCTCTGGATCTGGTGGCTGCTGTTCTCAGGGCCAGGCCTGCACCTGGGACTGAACATGGGCTCCCAGGGGGGTTGTACTTGTGTGGGGGTACAGTGGCGGGGAGAGCACCTGGTGCAGTGCGTCCCTGCCCACAGAGGCCCTACGATATCCACTCGAGCAACGCCGTTGAGTCACTCGTTCAGCTCTTCAGCACCGTGAGTGTCCAGTATGTGCCCACCTGGTCCAAGGAGATGGTGGCCCTGCTGCGGAAGGTGAGCCTCCTCCCCTCGCCCCCGCCCCCAGATACCCACCCATCCCTGCACTCACTTCTTCAGGAGCTCGGGGAGGCACCCCATCTTTTCATGGGCACAGAACCCTTCACCAGCACAGCCATAACCTTTCCTGGACAACGACTCTGAGACCTTGTCTAGCTCAGGGAAAAGGAATCTGGTACCAACACATGGGTTTCTGGTTCTAGCCGCAGGCAAGCCGTGTGCTTCTCATAGCCAGTCTGACCGGACCCCCATGGTGAGCTAAATAACAGCATGCCCCTGTCTGTGACCAGTGCGTCAGGACAAGTGCATCATCCTCTTCCCATGATGCTCAGAGCCAGGCAAAGAGTTTAGACATCAAGCCTTCTGCATCACACGTCTAGGAGAGAGATGATAGCAGACTGGCACATGTCTCAAGTTATGCACTAGCCTCCTCTACCCCCTGTCCCCACCCTGAAAGGTGAACAGGGCCTGGGTCACCACTCCCAGGGGACAAAGAAGAAAGCCAGTCCCTCTGGCCTCTGCCCCCTACCCCCTGCTCCCTGCCCCTTGCTCCCTGCCCCTTCACCTCTCACAGCCAAGCTCTGTCTGTAGATGGAGAATGGAGAATACCAGCCATTAGGGACACAGGGACACTGTATGCCCTGGGGCTGGACTGGGGGCCGTTTATCACATGAAGAGCTTTTCTCTAAATATGTTGATTGGAGTATCCCAAGATGTGGATCCGGAGAACAGAGCCCACAAGCCAGGACAGGCGTGAAGAAAGGGTTGTTATATATGAGACATGACCAGGAGGTACCTGTCTCTGGTAACCTGATGTCCTGGCCCAGCATAGATTTATACATTTTTGGAGCCCGAAGGTTCTACATGGTAACAGAAGAGGCTTTGCAGTACTTAGTTGGGCCTATGTGCTATTATGGGAGAATGTTAGTCTGGCTACCACTGCCACCTGCTGGCCAATCTTGGCAGGACATCCCTGCAGCTCTGTTGTCCTTGGGTATCAGGGCACAAGGATCAAAGAGTCTCTAGGGCCACCTTTCCTCAAGCCTCAGAGCGATGGACACCTTCAAGGGTTGCTCCAACGTGGGGCAGGTAGCCATTCTCCTGTGGGGCTTTGTCTGAGAGGGGGCCTCCTTGCAGCTCCTCACGGTGAACCCTGAGCACCGATTCTCCAGTCTCCAAGACATGCAGACAGCGCCATCGCTGGCCCATGTGCTGTGGGATGACCTGAGTGAAAAGAAGGTGGAGCCGGGCTTCGTGCCCAATGTAAGCCGGGGTGCTCAGATGGGTGACTCCAGGCTGTTGGGGGTGGGGTGGCACCCGCAGGCTGGGCTCAGTACCCTCTCTCTCCACAGAAAGGCCGTCTGCACTGTGACCCCACCTTTGAGCTGGAGGAGATGATCCTGGAGTCGAGGCCTCTGCACAAGAAGAAAAAGCGGCTGGCCAAGAACAAGTCTCGGGACAGCAGCAGAGACAGCTCCCAGTCGGTGAGTGCTGGGCTCAGGCTTCGGGACCCCCTCAGCCCTGTGTGTGGAGTGCAAGGTCCCTTAGCAGTGCTCTGACAGCCTCAGGGCAGAGCATGAACGCTATAGTCCGGCAATAGTCTTCCTGGAGTCCCGAGGAGGCCTATGACCTTCCCCAGCTTCCCTTGTCACAACCCTCACCTCCAGCCTGTCTACATAGCTGCCTTCAGCTGCTTCCTGCTCCTGGACAATGATCACTGGGGCAACCAGCTGAAATCAAGGATAGGCACCAAGAATGAAAAGCCCCTGTACAAGCCCAGGGATGTTAGTGCTCAGGTGACTTGTGCCCTGGTTCATCAGTGGTCAGGGGTACCATGTTGAAAATCAAAGTGTTAAAGCTCTGCTTTTCTAAGGCTCTGGGAAGGAAACTCTTCCTTGCCTCTCTGGCTTTGGGAGTGTGTTGTTTTTAAAAAAAATGAATGAAAATCCTAACCATTCTGTTTTACCAATAAAGACTCAGGAGCCAGAAGCAGGGTGAAAATCTGCTAGCTCAGAAAGGCAGAGAAAGCCCCTAGCTGACCTTCCTTCTCAACTTAGGTCTGGATGGAAAAAACATAAAAGGCTCACTAGTTCCACTGACAGCCCAGGAAAAAAGGGCCAATGCCTAAGCTCAAGCCCTAAGGAGCCAGTTCAAAAAGCTTTCTTCTCCACACAGTCTTAAATACCCCTCAACTCAAAGTCCCTCCTACTCTTTAATCCCTGTCAGCTGGTTTCTTCCTCTGCCTCTTGATCTAGGGTTAACTTTATTAAACCCTGTGTACAGAAAATTCTTGGAGTAAAGATGTGTGCTGGGGGTGAGTGAACCACAGCATAATCACCTGTTTACAATAATCGGAAAGTTAAAGGTGTGTGATAAGGCCTAACCACACCAAACAAGAAACAGGGTTTTACAGTTCACAATTTTGGGGGTTCACAATAGGATCAAATATCCTGCAAGAGGAGTATCTGTCAATCTTGAGCATCCCATGTAAAGTCCTATTCACAGGTCTTAGGGTTTTGTCCTGAGCATTCTGGGGTGGGGGAGGGGCATCACAGTTTAGTTCCAAGTGCCAGGGTATACAGATGGTGTGCACAAAAGAGCAACTATTGCATGTTGATGTCAGAGTGATCGGTGGTCAGTGTTTACCTACCTTTTTGACCTGTCTGAGCCTGATACTCTGAAGTATTACCTCCCAGACCTGATGGGCCCTATGCTGTTCCAGAGTGGTTGTGGGATGCAGGGCTGGGTTCATTCCTTGGGCACCTTGACTTTTCAGACCTAGTTAGGTAGGTGGGGCTCCTGTCCTCTCCTCCAACTGCCCATGGCACCCCTGGTGTCTGTGGGTTGAATTTCAGCCAGACAGTCCTGGGCCAGGTGCCAAGAGTAGGGATAGTGGGGATTCTTGCTGGGGTATCTAGAACCAGGGCTTTGGGGGGTAGAAACTGGCTTTGTGTGGGCGTGGGTAACTCATGTGGAAATCCAGACATGGAGAGCGTACAGAGTGACTGCCATGCTGACCTCTGGAGGCTGCAAATGAGAGCAAGCTCAGGTAGGCACTGGGAAGAACTCGGCTCCATCCTGCAGCAGTGGGTGGGAGCTTTAGTTGGAGGGTGAGAAGTGTGTTCTGGATGTCGGCTAACACTGGGAAAATATCCAATGTTCCTATGGAAAATTTAAAACCTGGAGACTGAGGAACTTTGATGAATACTTTTATTTTCTCACAATCACATAGCATACAATTCACACACACATCATCATCATCATCATCATCATCATCATCATCATCATCATCATCATCATC